TCAAAAGTGAATTAAACTAGTATTTTTTTTAAAAAAAATACACAGGTTACAATTGATTATTTGTTATTGATTTATTTGATTTGATTATTGATACTTTTTAAATTTATGATTTGATTATTGATTTAATTCTTTTTTTAAAGTAAGAATTTAAATATCTTAAATTTAAAAGTTTAAACTTTTCTTAAAAAAGGAAAGAAAAAATTAATCATCAACTATAATTAATGGAAATAAATTTGACATGTTTGCCATGGATAATGTGCATGTGCAATTGTGCATAATCCTATATACACAATCAGTTTAGTATGATCCATGCAAGTTTCATGTGGCATGTCAATCTTATGAGACTGATTTTGTAATTTAATCACCCTATGCAAAAGACCAATAACAAATTTCAAAAATTAATTAAAATATGTTTTTTTTTTAAATCGCACTAGTTACAATTGATTATTGATTGATTGATTTGATTCTTGATTTATTTCTTTTTTATGAAAGAATTCAAATATTAAAAATTATATCTAATATTTGAATATTTCTTAAAAAAGGAAAGAAAAATTAATCACCAACAATAATTAATGATAATAAATTTACCTTTCTCGGATTTCAAAAAATTTAAAAATTCAAAATACAAACTTGAAATTTATTTATAATTTAATTATTTTTAAAAAATAAATTTAATATTAATTTTTAAATTAATAATAACCTTATCATTTATTATTTTAATTATTATTTAATAATAATTATTTATAACGTTAATCGATAATTATACGAAATAAGAAAATAAAATAAAATTTGGGATGAATAATGTGCATGTGCATAGTTCTATCTAACACCCATCTCTTCGTTCAATAAGTTTTGTCCACTTTTTGTTCTATTATAATAGAGGATAGGTTAATATAGATATAATATAATTAATATATATAATAACTAATACTAATTAAAGGTGCGAATTTTCATGAAAGGGATTCTTATGATATGTTCGGAATCTTTTATGATAATCATCCGCGTCTGAAACGTATTTTAATGCCAGAAAGTTGGATAGGATGGCCGTTGCGTAAAGATTATATTACCCCTAATTTTTATGAAATACAAGATGCTCATTAAATGTAAATGAGAAAAATAAAAATAAACGAGCCGGGGGACCGGGAGATTGGATCTAGCCATAAGAAGAATTGAATGTTTGGCTGATAAATAACTCACTTCTTGGTCTTCGACCCCCTCAGTCACTACGAACCCCGATCCATTTTATTGGACGGAATTTGTATGAATTAGATTCACAAGAACCGACTAACTAGCTTTTCAATACAAAAATAAGTCTTTAGTTCTTTTTATTTTTAGCCCATTCTATTTTCATTTGGTAGTTCGACCGTGGAATTTCTTTGTTTCTTTATTTCCGGAATATGAGTGTGTGACTTGTTATAATTGATCCCGTTCATAGTACAGAGCATAAAATGGATCTGTCGTCTTGACAACGATGTTGTCCATAGATCAAATGATTTCGTGGATTGGATTTCACTTGACTGTCTACGGCTCTGTTGCGTGTGCTCGGGGTAAAAATTTTGTATAAATGTATCGCCACGCTATTAAGTATTTTTATTTAAGTTCTTTTCTTTCTAAGAGGTGGAATAGAATAACCCGGTTGAAGCGTAATGATCATACGTCTCTAATGCATTGTATGTCCCATGGGTCGTTAGATAGGAATCCGAAGATGAAAAGAGAAACAAAGAATATCACTACCGTGTAAACAAATAGTTTTAGAGTAAGCATTACAAGGGGCGTTTGATAGAGGAGATTTTTTTTATCAAGTAAATGCAATTACCATTAATATGGTAGGAAAATGAGTTTGGTAGGAAAATTAAAAAAAAGTTGTTTGGTTGGCAAAAATTTTACAAGAAAAATTGGGTTGAATTTTGTGATTACCACATTGTTTCGTTCATCTTTTCTAATTTAGCTCGTTTTCTGCGAATACCACATTGCAAGTGGTAAAGTTCAACTGTGTTTTTCTTTCCTTTTTGCGTATGATTCTGAAAGGCTGGGGGAAAGAGAAGCATGGATAACTTTTTATATTTCTTCTACCAAACAAAAGCAACGTGAAATGCCAAACTCAGATGGATGAGATCTAAACAAAAATTCTGAACCAAACACTACCTTATACAGAACGAGTCTTGTATGATTCATGCAAATTTCATCCATGCCATGCTAATCAAACAAGACTGATATCTTGATTTAGTCACCCTATACAAAAGGTGAATAATAAATTTCAAAAGTAAATTAAATAGTTTTTTTTAAAAAAAAAATGCATTTGTTATAATTTATTATGGTTATTGATTTTTTTTTAAATTTATAATTTTATTATTGATTTATTTATATTTTTAAGAAAGACATCAAATATTTTAAATTATATCAAATGTTTGAATAGGAAAGAAAAAATTAATCATCAATTATAATTAATCATAATGAATTTTACATTTTAAATTTAAAAAATTCAAAAATCATACCTTAAATTTATTATAATATCAATTATTTTTTAACAAGATAAATTTAGTACTAATCTTTATAATAATAATAAATTTTATTTTGAGTATTATATAGTATTAATTATTTATAACTCTAATTGATAATTAGACTAAATAAAAAAAATAAAATATAAAAATATAAGTCACGGCGCACGGTTTGTTAGCTTTTTTTTTTAATATGAAACCATTAGCCGTAATCTTAAGATTATCTTGTCTGTATCGTGCTATTCAATATTTATAATTTATATGGTGTCTTAAAGTTATAGGCAACATAGTTATTAACACTAATAGCATCATGATGAATCTGGTGTTCCGTTGTTATTCTGTCTTTGATACTTTGATATGATATGGTGGATGTTACCATGAGATTGGCGACAAATACTACGTCAAATTGAAAAGGGTAATAAGAGGATTTCCCGTAATCTCAATACAATGACGAATCTTTCATCTCTCATAACAAATGTTTTCTTTGAACTTTAAATCTAAGAATAATTATTCTGAGGGTCAACTTTACAAAAACTTGCCAGGATATGTGTCAAATATTAAAAAATTTATAGAATTCTTAGTAGCTGATTTATTGAAATTAATCCTTCATTCCATAGTTCATTATTAATTTAGAATACCAAAAAAAAAATATACATGTAGAGATTGTCAAGGGGATAATTTGTTTGGAATCCATAACATCGAGTATAGCAAATTAAACAATGAAATTGAATAAGATCGACTCCATTAACTTAATGTAATAACCTTTAAATTTCTATGTGATTGAAAACCACCACCCTTATAAAGTTGTGCACATTTACCAAAAAAAAAAAAACAACAAGAGTTGTGCATATAATGGGACGAGAAAACGAGTTTTTCATACAACCTTATAAGTAAACTCCAATGGGTTTGCCCATCACAAATCTACACTAACCGGTCCGTATTTGATTAATTAAAGTCCGCATATCATATTCATAAGTCAATGGTTTTAAAATATAAATATTATTAATTAATATCTTAAATTAATAATATATTATAAAAACAATATTACATTATACCAAATGAGATATATTTATTGTACGGAATATCTTTAGTAAAGCCATTGCTTCATAGACTGCTCTAAAATCGATCTTGTCCGCAAAGTTTCAGGGGTGACTGCAGTACTAAACCAACACATAGTCTCTTATTTTGTATGGATTTAGTATGATAATGTGGGAATTAGATTATACCCCGATTTTTGTTATTTTCTCGCCAGTCACCCGTTTATGGATTTAATATATGTCTTGACTTTATCATCACACAAATTTTAAGAATCATTAGACGTATACCTCAGAACAAAACTTGAATGCCTCAAATTTATTCAAGGTTAACGTACACCTTGACATTAAACTATGAATCCATTAGCCGTAATTGTTAGATTCTTTTTATACAAATTTATAAAGCATCTTAAACACACAGGGTCCATAGCTCAGTGGTAGAGCATTTGACTGCAGATCAAGAGGTCACCGGTTCGAACCCGGTTGGGCCCTAATGTTTTTATATTTTGTTTCCCCCCCACCCAGTCATTCACTTCACATCATTCTGCGAACTAAAGTTTCTTTTACAATTACATTGAATTCCTTCCACAAACAAATTTGTATAGTTCATATGAGCTAGTTTTAAAATAATGATAATGAAATCTGCTTTTGTGGATGGATCTCAAGGGTATTCCTACCATATTGTTACCTACATTTGCTATGGTAAGTGCACGAGACGAATTGAAACATTTATGAAAGTATGAAATGAAATAAAACATTCTAAAAGAAATTCTGGTATTCTTGTTTGAATTTATAAATTTAGGGCTTGTTTGGTATGAATATTATTTTAGAAATTCTAGAAAAGTGGGGTGGAATAAATTTTTTTCCAATATTTGGTATAAGAAAACTAAAAATATTTTCAGAAAACTTTTTTTTCTATCATTTTAGTTTTAACAACAAAATCTCAAACGAAAATATCATATGATGCATGTTATTTTTATTTTCTCATAGCATCTGTATAATTAGTTCTCACAACTTGGATGGAGCTTCTGTTGCTAAGAGCTTGTCGTGTATTTACCTTTAATTTTGTAAAATTAGCCCATACTTTTAGAAATTATTGACAATTAACCAAATATAAAATTAGAAAATTTAAGCTAATATATCTGAGAATATTTTGACCTACCAAATAATTTTTTAATAATATTCCTGATAAATTCACTTTCCCGGCGTATTCTCAATAATTATAATTCCCAAGAATGAAATTTTTTTCCCTCTATCAAATGCCCCATTAGGCAAATCTACAGACAAACAAGCCTTCCTCTCCTGTAATTAAAAACCTTGTCTTGGGTGGGTGGAAGGGCAGGATGAAACAATTTACTCGTATTTGAGAACCATTTGGTCAAAACCCTATTGTTTCCGTTAAACAGATTCATATAGCCCAAAGCCACTCTCCTTGGGCACTGACCAACTTTTATTGTTAATGTAGATGTCTAGAGTAGCACAATCAATTCACAGGAATTATACAATCATAGATTCATAGTTCTAATGGATTCAAGGCCTCAAGGAAAGATGCCAACATCATCAAACTGTATACAGATACTTCCAAGATAAACTTAGGAATTGGAATCTTCATGTTAATTTGCTACTCTCACTCGTAGGATAAGAACATTTTAATCCGCCAAGACAAAGCCTCTGAATTGTGCATTTCAATCCTTACTTTTCGGGTATATTGTTCCAACGTATGTGCATACTCATTTATGGTATCATTAGACATTGTATCTTCAGCTAATCTGACTGCTGCCATCTGAGACAATTGAAAGTTCTCCCCCATTTGTTGCAGCTTCCTAGCTGTTTCACCCTCACCAAACATCATAAGGGAAACCAACAAAGATTTCAACTCACGTCTAGCTTCCACTGTCAGGGACATGCCTTTCAAATGCTCCACTAAGGCCAACTCCTCGTCAGGACTACAATAGTGAATAGAATACTACAACTTCATAAGCAAAATAGTGACTAATGAAAAACAATAGAACACGAGGAGGGGTAGGGGAACACAAGAAATTTTCAGGTCAAGATACCTTCCAGGACGGATTTTTCCTCTTTTCCTCTGACGCCTAGTGTCTCTTGCCTTGCTAGTTGTAGTTGAGCTAATTGAAGCAGCAGAACTTCTCCTGGTCCTGTTGATGAAATGAGGAAAACAAATGAAGCCTCACACAACAAAACTATAACAGAAGAAATAAATATAACAATAATGAGAAAAGAATACCTTAGTTGTTGCTTTTGTATGAAAAGAAAATTTAAGCATAGTTCAATTTTATCATCAAATGTCTTTCTCTAGAACAAAAAATACTAGTTAGGGCATAGGGAAGCTTTGCTATTTATTTATTTTTTACTTTGGAAAAAATGAAGCATAAGAGCAACTCAATTATAGACATAATTGCCGACCAGATTAAATAACAAGGAGCATTACAAAAACACTGGCGTGCACACACCATAAATGCGGTAACAGAAAGAGAAAGCTGCAAGTTTGAATGTGACAGTGATCATTTAGTCCAAAGATGTAATAACCATGACCTTCAAAGCCTACAGCATTCTACATGAAGACAAAACAAATTCATTTGTCACAAATATTATGACATACAAACTACATTAGTAAAAACCATAATTGTATCTCCCTGCTAGTCTTTTGCAGAAGAATAGAAAAACATTGTGTTTACTTAATACATGAAAGATTTATAGAAAGAGCACCGGGTGGTTATGTTCATTATAACATGTATTAAGGCCATAATCCATCCTCAGAGTCAAACAAAACGTATTGAGAATATATACAGAAGCACATTAAATTGATGTTCTACATCTAGCTAATTATATAGGCAGATCTATAGGATCAAGGAAAAATACATACCCTGTGGTGTATGCACTCATTCCACTAAAATTACTGCTAGCTTCTGAAGCAGCGTCATCATCAAGATCACTCGCTGCAAGTTCCTCTGCCTGGAGCTTTGCCGCAAGAAGTAATCTTCTCTGTCGAACAGCCAAGTAACGGGCCAAGTACTTCCCCACTTTCTCTAAGCCTTCCTCATATTCACTGATAAGTGTGCTTGCGCATTCCACAGATGCATTCTTCACTGCTTTAATTAAGTCCTCTCTTCTATGCATAAAAACAACCCTCAAAGCCTCCTCCCAGTCTCTTGCAGAAATTAACAAATTCACACCATTGTTAACATCTCCACAGTACTCCAGGGCAATTTTGGCAGCTTCCCCAGGTTTACCAAGTGCTTGAAGTTCTTCACAAAGCTCACTGGCAAGATGCAGTACCTCATCCTTTCCGAGATTAAGGAACCCAGCAACAGTAAGAACCCCACTCCAATTATTAATAGCACGATAAGACTTCAGAGCCTTATCCAGACTGAAACAGGACAAGTAAATTGTTGCAGCATCTCCAAAGCATTTCTCATCACTAAGGTAATCCCCCCATGCCTCAAGGAAGGGCATCCTCTTGGCAGGGTCATTAAAAAGTTGAAGAGCCAATGGAAAAAGTTGAGGGTTTGTTTTCACGAGTGTCATACAATCATCGTAATAAGAATCTCCAGCAGAAGCAATATGTCTGAGAGCCTTTTCAAACCTTTTCAGCCTAAGGTCAATATTATATTGCATTAACAGAGTAGGCATACGCTCCAGTTCTTGTAAGAAAGGAAGAAATTCTTTTGGATCTTTCTGAGCATTCAATGCCACAATAGCAGCAAGATTTAAATCATAAAGACCCAAAGCAGCTTCATAGACAGCATCCGAATCAGCTAACCACAAAAGATGCTTCAAAGCTTCTTCGGCAGAAGGGTAAGAAATTCTCCCCCGGTCATCAGCATGAGACAATTCCTTTTCACGGATAATCTTTATTCTCTTTAGAGCATCTTCAAGTAACGGAGGATCACTCCGAGCTAGAGTCGTCAAAATGCAAAGCTCCCTTGCAGGACACTCTGTTAAGTGATCCTCAAGTGCTTTCCTTATGGCCATCAGAATGGAAGAAACCTTGTTACCAGCAGGACAACTCTGGAGGCCTCCAACTAGCAAAACATTAGCAACCTCTGGATGGGGAACAGATATATAATTTTTGTAGAGTTTCTCTATAATATTTTCATTCTTTACAGAACAAACAAACTCAGTTATGTAACCCAGATTGTTAACCTGCCTGACAAATTCAGAAGCTGATTCTGAAAATGCTTGCCAACCACAGTAATCAACAATCACATTGAAATCTATCCTATGCCTCCTAACCATAAGTAAAGCATCTCTAAAGCGCTTTTGAACTAAGGCATTAATGATAGAAACCAAAACCAATTTTCTAGGGTATATACATTCTAGGTTTCCGCGAGTAGTTTGCAGTATAATGGCAGCTTCATCTCCATGTAAGACTCCAACAATTTTAGCACCTCTCTCCCATATATTTATGTGCTTTTCATTTTCTTCTTTTTTCCTGCTGTTAATGTGGACAAAGTTCCCGTACTTTGAGTCTAACTCCCCATTAAATATATCACCAATGTCAACAATGAAAAGCAAATCTTGTTTAGTCGCAAGAATTAAATGTGTGGTAACTTGGTCTGCCAAATTTGAGTAAAACAAGAAACTGCTGCAGTTGTTGCAAACTATCCCCCCATTAGCATGCAGTCTACCAATCTCATCCAGTCCAAAAAGCACAGGTTTTGATTGGCCACCACTGCCAACTAACACTACACTCAGCCAAGGGCAAGCTGATGAAAAACCTTGATATGCTTGTTCTACAGATCCTCTACTAATCCCAAATCTTGATAGGTACTCTTGGATATCCCCCCCGGAAAACTGCATATATGCAGAACATTTACCAGTAGGATTTGGAGTGATGCCGATAACCAGATCTTCAAGAGTATTTTGCTTTGAAACAGTTGCATGCCAGCCTGAGCATGTCAGTAATCCTGGAACAAGATCCTCAGAACATTCAAGTTCCATTTCCTGCAAATAGAAGCCTCGAAATCCACCCTCATTCAGTGAGGTTTGAAATAAGTCGTTACTGTGACTGAAACCATAATGTGAAACAGCTAATAGCTTATGGGAATCCAACCATACAAGATGTAAAATGGATCCAAACACCGTTTCACTATGACATGCTTCAACACTGAATTCTTTCCCCTCTAGTTCTTCCCAGGTTTCAATTGATGGAAGCTCTACAACACACAAGCTACCATCTGAAAGAAATGCAGCTAACTGGTTCTTAGAGTTTTTGCAATACACTGCCATGCCCCCAACATGAGAAGAAAATTTCAGGCTAAATAAATACATAGGAGGCGGCATTAAGGATAAGGAAAGTGGGGTTACATGAATATTGGAGCCATCAATGACTAGTGCAATGGAATTCTCCATAACAGCGGTGATCCAGACAAAGCTGTAAACTGTGACCTGACCACCAAGAGTCCAACAAATTAACTGCAAAGGCTTTGCTGGATCCCAGATGAACCTGACTTCATCTTGCTTCAAGTATCTAATTTCATGCTTCAGGTACCAGTGATTGTTGCTAAAATACCATATCTTTATAGCATCATAATTTTCAAATTCAACAACACCTGCAAGAAGATCAGAACTACAATTCCATTTCAGAAATTTTAAGTTTGCATTAATTCCTTCGTTGATGCTAAATTTGCTTCTTTCTAATCCATTTCTCTCAAAGAAAACAATGGAGGGACATTCATTCTCAGCTTTTCTATCATAAACAGCTGCAATTTTAGCACCACTGGGCATCCACTCCAAAACTGCTCCAGCAAAAGCTTTTGCCTCCGAAGAAGCAAGCAATGCCCCTGAATCTCGTTCCCAAACCTTGAGTTTCTTAAGCAATGAATCAGAACCGCATGCATCACTCATTGTGGCAAAGTATTTCCCATCTCCTCGCCAAGATACAGGATGCTGCTCAAACCGATCCGACAGAAAGATTTCTTCACCTGAAAACACAGCATGGTCACTATTTCGAACCAGCTCCACAAATAAAAACAACTCACATGACCAAATTCACAAATAATAACACTGATAGAAGGCATTAATATTCACTATGCCTCCTAGTCAAACACAAAACCTAAACCATGAACCATATATGCAAGTGGTAGGAAAGGCCTAATATTAGCACAAATAGCCTAAAGCAGAATCATTAGCATACACATTACACTTAAATATATATATATATATATATATATATATATATATATATATATATATATATATATATATATTAAGATTGTGGAGAAGGGTAATTTTTAGTCCTTACTTACGTCATAGCCTTCAGGAAGATCATGGAGCGGTGTTTCATACAACAAATCCCAATCATGAGTCATAACCAATATCTGGCCAAAACCAGTTATTATAGCAAGTAGTTCTCCATCAGGGCTAAGGGAGATGCAGTTGACACCACCATCTACCTTGCCAACAACTTGGGTTGCGTTAGCGTCTACATTGTGAAGCAATAAAATGCCGTTTGAAGTTCCCAGAAGAAGCGCCTCCTTCTCCATGAGGTAATCAAAGGAAGTAACGGAGTCCCCATGTTCCAGATCAACGGTGCCAACATCTGTAGATAATAAGCGCTTACTCCAAGCTCCTTTTTCCTGCCACACATAACATATAGCAATCAATTATTCAAAGTTTTCAATGAATCCCATTATGATAACAAAAGAAACTCGGAACAAAAAACTTACGTGGAAAGAAGAGAGATGGCATGTATATATGAAATTGTGGGAAGAGAGGAACAAGAGGCGGTTTCGCTCGATATCCCAAGCGGAGAATCGTAAAGTTTCGTCGTTGAAGTTTAATTGGAGATCCAAAGGGACCTCCGAAAAGAGCTTCAAGTTTTTCATTGTAAAACCCTAGAACTTTTGCCGCCGGTGATGTACTTGAGTTGAGAGTAGTAGGGTTTAATTTAATTAAAACCCTCAAGAGGCCCTGGTCTTATTCCTCTTATTACGGAGCATGGATTCTTTTATTATCAACCAAATATAAATTCAATAACTTGTTCTTACCCATCATATTTTCTGTAATCGTAATTTTTGGATAAAAAAAAAAAATTCCTCTATCAAATGTCCTCTTTAGGTGGTGTTTGGTTGAGAGGATTTTCAAAGTTTCTTATGCAAATGAAGGAAGGAATCCAGAAATGACTTGCTTGGTTGAATAGATTCCATCTAAATACCCAGCTATCCCATTTGCATTGCTTTTTCCATTTGCTGGTGGAATGATAGGTTTTGTCATTGTTGAGAAAGATTTGTTGGAGGTGGTTTTTGTGTGAAAACCAGCTAAATGACTGTGTAGAGAAATTATTAGAGATCATTATACCCTCTTAAAAAGAAAACTTGTAGCAACAGTTACCTCTCTTGCCAAAGCATCCTCGGTTCTTGATCTCTTCTTATCCCTTTTTGCAACCGAAATAGACACAGGAGACTTGTAGCACGACTTCTTGGGTGGCAAACTCCGTCATTGGAGCATTCTAACTTTGAAGTCTTTGGATTGGATTGTATTGTTTTGGCTAATTTAACTCTGGAATTGGATGCTTCTTGTTTCTGCAATGCACTGTTAAAATATGAACAATACCTTGAAAACTAAAATTACAATGAGCAAAAAGAGGCCTCGGAAAGACAAAATCTCAAACATAGATTTTGGTATGTTTGAGATTTTGTAATACCAAACATATAGTAAAAAAATTAATTAAAATCAGGGTTATTTTCGTAATACTAACTTGTTTTCCCATCTATATTTTACCTTCAACCAAACATAGATTTCATAAAAGTTACCTAATTTTCTCGGTAAAGTTTTTCTCACCAAACAACTTTTTTTTACATTTTCCTACCTATCTCACTTTTTCTCACTTTCCAACCATTTCCCTATCAATTATATTTTCCTAGTATTCAAAAAAATTCTCCTCAACCAAACACTCCCTTATAGTATTTAATTGGATTAATTGAGAGGAATATGCTGCACGAGACAATTTTGTGTCATGCACATATAAAAAATGGATGTAATTCAGTGTTTTTCTTTCTCTCTATTTTGTGTTGCATGAAACAAGATTCTCTCTTCTCATCAATTTTGTGTTGCATGAAACAAGATTCTCTCTTCTCATCAATTTTGTGTTGCATAGGCTGAAGTATGTTTACCTTCGATAAAATAAGTTTGCACATTCAGACTTATACTTTATGTACAAGACACATCAAATAGATGACTGCATGATCACCTTTTGATGAGAAGAGTCCCGAAACACTTCAGTAGAGCTGTTGAATTTACAGCATTTCATAAGTCAAGCTATGACATTTCAAAGTTTAAAGTTTTGACGAACTCGTGAAATATGTTCAAATGATGGAGAAAATGTAAAAAGTCTCCGTTTTCTCATTAAGAACAAAATCTAGATCATTTATACATGAGAAATCAAGCCAAGTGCAGTTAAAATTTGTTAAAAAACTGACCAAAACAAAAAATTAATGAAGTCATATAGCGCGCTCAAGTTTTCACATCTGACAAACTTATTCAAATTTAAAGCTGTCAAATCCAAGTACCCACAGCCAAAGTATGCTTTAATGGATTATGTTTTCTTTAACAAAAGCATTTTCATTTTCTTGATTATTTATGGTTAAAATATGTGAGCTAAATAACTCCAATATGTTTTACTGCATTAATGTCGTCAATAGATGCGTATAAGATTTACGTCAATAACTTACATATACAATTCACTTATATTTCACACTCCACAAAATTGTATCTTTTTTGTTTCTATATTTTTTATACAAATGTCATTTTTTTGACAGAATTTTTAAGTAGGTAACCCCATTTCCTTTCAAAAATATTTTTAATTAAAAAATTTATCAAAATATGAATGACTTGCGAAAGCTGCTAGTACTATTCTTCAAGACCAAAGAAATGGGCAAAGATTCATGGCAGGACAGGAGAAAAGTGCTACTTGACTCCAAAACAAGATTAGTTGGTGATTTGATAAGATAGATATCCAAACAGGACTTTATAAACAAAAATGGACAACGTATTCTCAACATCACAGTCACCATGGTAATTTATTTATTACAGTACAACTTGGAGAAAATGCAGATGAGATGACAAGTAAAAAAGGTTCTTAAACATTAGCTTTCCAGCATCCATTAACCCAGCCTCCAAAATTTGAGATGTTGCGTTTAACTTTAAATGGAAGACTTCTGTTGTGCCCAGAAACTTTATTAAACTTGATCTTCTTTCAAGGACCTCCGCTGCTATTCTATGAACTAATTTGCAATCATTTCAATTAAACAACAGTACTCCAATGTCATCAGCTAATGATCATCTTGTTAAAAAACTCAGCTTGCTCGGGAAAATACTCCATCAATTCTTCTTTCGCCACCCAAACAAAACCTCACATTTTCCGATATCGAACTTGTTTTTAGCAATTACCTGTGACTTGAAGAAGAATTTCTGACAGAAGATTTCGGCAAAAGAAAGAACGAGCAAATAAAATCAATTTCCACATGGAGAAGTAAGATAGAAGCATTGGAAAGGCTAGTGATGGAATTATGTAATGCAACCAAAAAAAGCAAAAGGCATACAAAGGTACTTTCAGTTAAAGCTAACACATACTGATATCAATAAACGTATTGAAAGATGTCAACCTTCCAATAGTAGACCAGAAGTATCACAAATTTTCCTATAAATATACCTTAAAAGATGTGAATTTGGACAAGTCTTCTGTAGGCTGAACAACCATATGGGCCATTGGAGCATTTCCAACAAAGTTTGTATTAGAAAGATCTCCTATGACTGATTTCAATGCAGACTCTGCACACTGCAAAATTTCAAAAATTATGAGGGAAAAGAAGGTAAGGAAATAAGAAGAGGACAGCCACATAAAGAGTGTTCACATTGCGTATGGTGTCCTCTGATTCATAAACTTTCTCTGGAAAATGCCACACAGACTTTCCGCTTGGAGCCCCGTATACATTACCATAGAGAAGAAGGTAGAGTCTTCGGTCAAGAGCTCTTTGCAATGACCTAAAGAGGCAAGTAGTAAGAGAATATGCAGTCACACAGAAATTATTTATGCCTAACAGAAAATTCAGTTCTAAAAAAATATTAAAAGGGATAAGCAAGTGGCCTAAATAAGTTTCTGTGTCTCTCAAAAGAGTTCAAATTATATTAGCTTTGACTCTGTTACCTCAGTCAAGGGATAGGGATATTGTGATCGAGCAAGGTAAATTATATTGAAATAAAGCATTTTGTTAATATAAATTACATATGTGATCAGCCAACTCAAATTGGTGCATACCTTCGATCATTGTTTTTGTCAGCTTCAGTGATTCGTGGTGCTGGCACATAGTCAATCTGATAATCACCTTTCCCCCTGAAAGTAACATGATTTTCACATAAGACTAGATGAAAACAAGGATCTATCTGTATTTTGCCAGTTGTGTTACTCTTAAATCAGATGGATGCATGCATGTGAGAAAAGAGAAAGAGGTGAAAAAAATAGGAAACATTTTTATCATTGCATCACAATCTCTGCCAAATAACCCAAAAAAAAATAAAAAAGTATAGACGTACTCTTATCCAGTTATACCTTGCATCAGATTTGTCTAGAAATTCATCAGGATATCTGCGTCGATATTGCTGTCGCCATCGAAACCTAACCATCCAAACCGGGGGAAAATGTATTATAGTTAGTTAGTTAGTTAGTATAATAGGAAGGAACAACAACCAGAATATCAGAAAGAGAATGGAACACACAACACAGCAGATAAAAAGAACAACAATCACCGTTAAAACAGGTTCTTCAAGTTTACGAAGCAAATATTAATAGGAAGAAAGCGTTGATATTAAATATCATACAATTTGGGAAAACAAGATTTCACTGAAAGACAGACATAAGACTGTGAAGCACAAGAATCCAAACAGAGCATAAGATCAAAGTGAACGAAAGTAGAGAGAGAGAGTTACGAGAATTCTTGAAAAGCATAAACAGTTGGATCAATTTTGGGAATGACAACAGGTAGTCTTTCAAAGAGGACGGAAGCAACAATATTGTCAGAGACAGAAGTGCTTGTGCTGAATCCTCGCCGAATCAATGACATCTTCATTTTCATACTGAATGTACGCAAAAACATCGAATTCTCAAAAAGAAACAAAACAAAAACATAGAAAAAGATAAAAAGAGAGAGACAAAAGCCCAATTTTCAATTGGGTTGCGCCGCCACACCTCAACAAAAATGGCTTGTTGGGAGCGGGGACCCAACGGGTTAGCCCGTTTTTTCCGGGTTAACGGGTTACGATCAACGCACCAGCCTGAGTAATAAAGAAATAAAATAAATAAAAAGTTTGAGAAATTAAATTAGACATAAATCAAGGTATTAAAATAATATAATACATACAGTTAGACAAAAATAAAGAAGCCATGTTTACAAATTCTGAAGCTCATAACCAATTCAAATTGTTGACTAACTTTATGACAATATTGCTCGCAACTTGAAAAAGCAAAATCTTTAGTTTACTAGAAATGCATTATTCCAAGACTTACGTAAATTAATGTCACATTTTTATAGCTATTTTAATTATATTTTTTAAGTGAGTCGAACCCCTAAATATTTCACAAACTTTAATTTTTTAAATAAGTTATAAGACTAATTTTGAATGAGGACTTAATTCGATCGTCCCTTCTTACAGTTAATATCACATCTTTCATATTACATTGTCATCATATTATTTAGTAGGGAAAATGTTTTTTAGGTATAAATTCATTTTTTTTAATTAAAATTACTTTGATAGTTCTTGTTTAAAACAATAAATGGGAGAAAAAATTAATCAAAACAATAAAGTGGGAAAGGATATAAGACATGTTTTTTTTCTTTGTTGGAAAGGATATAAGACATGTTTAAAACAATAGATGCATATTCCATTTAATTAACACGAGTAAGTAATCAGACATGTTTTTCTTAGATGGAGATATAAATACAAAATTATTGTAATCCCTTAATCAGACCTTACCCATTTTAATCCTTACTCCCTAGTGACGAGAGGAGACTGGACTAAACTGTAAGGCATTAATATAATATAAAGTGCAAGAAAATTGAACCACTTACGTTAAATAACACAAAATCTTGGTCAATACATCACTTGTCTTGTTTCATGATAAATTTACTTTAGCAATTAGCATTTATATGTAGACACGTGAATGACTATGAGTATAAATACAAAACGCTTTTTAACTTTTCTTTTTCTTTTTTTTCATTCTTCAATTTTGTCTACCAGAATTTCAATTAATATTTATCATTTTTATTATTTATCTCTCCTTCTGAGATTTTGATTCAATGGTATTAGAAAATGATAAAAAAGATGACATAAAAAAATAATTAAAATAACCTATCATTTATGTTAATCATCACAATCACTTTTTTCTTATAAAAACATAAATAATATAAATTGGCACATACTGTGATTTATAAGGTATACTTTAAATTGATACAACAAGACACGAATTTAACACAAACACAAATATACTCAATATTAACACTCGACAAATTCAAAAACACATTAAGACCTTTCAACACAAACACAACTTATTTATTTTGAGAATTGATACAACACAATACAAATAACACGCTAACTTCAACACAATGCAAATAACAAGTTAACCTTAAAGTACCGCTTAATATACAAATTGATACAACACGAATAAGTTGTTAACCTCAAAATATATCATTTATTATGCAACTTAACATAACCGCTTAATATATCATTTATTATGCAAATAAGTTGTTGACGGCTGGTTCAAACTTAACACTGATGGAGCCTGTAAATGGGAGTCTAGGTTGATGGGTTGTGGAGGTGTGTTAAGAGACAGCAGTGGCAGTTGGTTGTGGGGTTTTTCTAGGAATCTCGGGGGTAATTCCCTTATGGCAGAACTTTGGGGTGCTTTTATTGGACTTGAGATGGCTTGGGCTCGTGGGTACAGGCAAGTCTGGCTCGAAGGTGATTCCTCCACCATGGTCACTCTAATGCTTAAAGGGTGTGACAAGTTTAAACCTTGTTATATCCTGGTCCAGAGAATTCAGGCTCTAATTCAGCGTTCTTGGTCGGTTAGGATTTCCCACTCTCACAGGGAAAGCAACTATGTAGCGGACTGGCTTGTGAATATGGCCCTCTCTCAAGACTGGAATACGGTTATTTTGATTCCCCTCCTCAGGGCTATAATTTCCTTGTTTTTCTGGACTCTATGGGTGCTTCTACCCCTAGACTTGTTTGTTGTTAATTTCATTTCCGTTTTGTTCAAAAAAAAAAAAACATAACACCATACAACAAAACACAAATAACATGTATATTGAATATTGTTGTCACCAATGTTGTGTTAACATGACACTATGCAAATAAATTATAAAAAAATTAATACATGTTAATTACGTATATACACATTGACACATAACACTATTAATTTTTTCATACAAGTTGAAAAACAAATCACTCGAACGTCTTCTCAAAAATTGTCACTGTAATATTCAAAAAAATAAAAAAACTGGAACACACAACACATCAGATAAAAAGAACAACAATAATATAACAAGACACGAATTTAACACAAACACAAATATACTCAATATTAACACTCGACAAATTCAAAAACACATTAAGACCTTTCAACACAAACACAACGTATTTATTTTGAGAATTGATACAACACAATACAAATAACACGCTAACCTCAACACAATGCAAATAACACGTTAACCTTAAAGTACCGCTTAATATACAAATTGATACAACACGAATAAGTTGTTAACCTCAAAATATATCATTTATTATGCAACTTAACATAACACCATACAACAAAACACAAATAAAATGTATATTGAATATTGTTGTCACCAATGTTGTGTTAACATGACACTATGCAAATAAATTATAAAAAAATTAATACATGTTAATCTCGTATTTACACATTGACACACAACACTATTAATTTTTTCATACAAGTTAAAAAACAAATCACTCGAACATCTTCTCAAAAATTGTCACTGTAATATTCAAAAAAATCAAAAAAAAAAGTGACGCCATTAGCGCCAACAATGACGCCAGCCAATTGTGGCGCCTTTAGCGCCAAGAGTGACGCCATTTGCTCCAATTTTCACGCAAAGAGCGTGAACTTTCGCGTGAACGTAAATATATATATATATATATATGTTTACGTATATGTATAATAATAATAAAAAGAAGAAATAAAATATTAAGATAAATGTATATAATATATAATATATTAATAATAAAATAAATAATACTAATAATAATATAATAATTGATAAAAAAATAAAAATATGTATAAATATATTACAGAAACTAAATAAAACGTAAACATGTAACGTGGAACCATCTGATAAACGTTTACGAAAATCCTTCTAGAAACTGGTACGTTACTGATAACGTGGATAGTTATCACTGAATAGTAATGATTACTTAGTTATAATCTAACCAGTTTGTCCAAATCTAACTTAACCGTAAACAAGTCTCTTATATATATATAGGGTTTAGTGAGTGTACAGTGACTGGATGTAAAAATCGGTCCAGAGCACTATGTTCTCCCGCGAGAACACAGTTATAGTAAAATTATAACTGTGTTCTCCGGGAGAACACCATTGTAATATTTTTGCACTATGTTCTCGCGGGAGAACATGCACTGGACCGTCCAGTCACTTTATTTTCATTTTTCCATATATATATATATATATATATCACTATCCATAAGAAGAAAAAAAAGGGAAAGAGAACAGCGAGAAGAAAAAGAGGGAGAAAGAAAGAAAAAGAAAGGAGGAAAGCGACGAGGCAGTAACACATAAGGTAACATTGGGTAGAAAAGTATATATATTCTCTCATTTTTCTTCTTATTTTCAAACGATATGAATTTTTATGCTAATGTCGTTTTGTTAAAGTCATCTCTTTTAATATTCCTTGAATTTACTTGTTACAGTAGTTTAGTTTTTGATTTCATTCTTCTACGGTTTTTTTTTATTTTCTTTTAAATTTGTTTTCTGATTGTTAATTTGGGTCGTTATTTGGTACCAAATAATTATGAAGAGTATGTGTAAATTTAACTGATGAAGACTGCTATGAACTGAACCACAGAGTTTGGGTTCAGATGATTATAGGGTAAGGGACGCCTTATCGTGGTTTGAGCTCCTCCACAATAAATCTTTCATATGCAGAGAACCACAAAGTTGGAATATTATTTAGCTTCAGTTAAATATTACACAATGTATTATTTATTATATTACTTTATTTTATTAAATTATTTGAGAGAATGGTATTTTTCGTTATTACGGCTGAAAATGGTTATAGTTAGAAAACCTCAATGTTACTGAGAATCTTCTCACGTGTTTGTTTTGTGCTAACCTTTCTAGAAAATCATAATGCCTAGTCTAAGCTTATTAGGTGAAGGATGGAGTATCAATATTTACTCTTACGAGGACCGCATGGAGTTTTATATTGTAGTAGGAAATCAAGGAGCTGCTTCGATATTCTATGCTGAGAGTGTGGAAACTTACACCTATAGACTAGATTAGGATAAGACTCTTGTATTGTATAATTAAGTGATGTCAGTATGTAAAATATAAACTGAAGTGATGTAATATTTAGTAGACTGTAGGACCTATATAAAATAACTTCCTTTTGTACCTGGCGTAACATTATCTATGAAGTAATGTTGATAGATTTTTATATAATTTTCTTTACCGTTATTATCATCAATATGTATTAATTAATAACATTAACTCCTTTTCATTTATTTCTCACTGACTGTACATAAAGTGAAAATGTACATAAAACAAGAAAACATGTAATATTCCTTACAAAAGTTAACATTAAGGGATGTTACATTTTTATGGTATCAGAGCAGCGGTTCATATTTTGTCACAGATTATGCATATTTTGAATTATTTTATTGAACCTGATCAACTCACTATCATAAAACAATATATGTAGATCTATGGCAAATACAAGACAAATATCTTCTTCAACTTCTGAACCAGAAGTTAACCCAGTAACTGATGCATTTACCAGTGTAGCAGAAGCTCTTAGAGACCAGGCTGTAACTAATCACCAAATTATTCAAGAGTTGAGGGAG